TATGGGGAATTGGAGGAAGTAGATGGAGGGGAAGAAGTATGAAGTAGTGCTTTATTCCGCGTAGGAGCCTACCTCCATGTTTCGAACGAAACAATGGATCTTCCTTTTCCTCAATACTTAATCAGTGATCCGTGGAAGAATGGCCAGTTTGGATATTTTACTATTCAAACTGGCAAAATGTTCCACGGGAACTGATTAAAATTAAGTGTTAAAATATGCATAAGGGTATGTACTAAATGGATGAGAGTTTGAATTAATTTGAGCTTTGAGAAGCTTCGCTGGCTTGAAGCCGATGTTACTGGAGCTGGGAGAACAACTTTCAAGCACCGCAATGTGAGTGGAAACAGTTCTTTGAATTTCGAACAATAATTCAAAGCATCGTGAATGGTAGCAATGCCGTGTTTTGACGCCAAGCAATGATTCTAGGCCGTAGGATAAACATCCAAAAGATGCAATTCCGTTGCACCCCTCGTGTAACTACGTAATTTTCACATGAATCAATAGATAAAAACTTACTTTATCAGAATCCGTTGCTTCCCAAGCGAAATAATCCCTCCAAAGTTCGCTATTTTCCCGCTTCGAAATATTCGAACCGCTATTGTTTTGGTAGCAAATACGCATGCGCAAGTCAGCCACAGTCGCACTGCGCATGCGCAGATGCGAGAAATGGATTTTCCATGTGGGTTTTCCCCGCCATTTCCCCCCTAAAAACAACAAAATAAAATCACGGAATAAAAATCAAACCTTGTAATATTAACGAATAAATACACATACATTAAATATTGTTTAATTAAAATACATTGTACATTTTGCTTGCTCATATGCTAAATCACTTCAATTCATTGGCTATTGTTTCAAAATACCGTTTTAACTTTTAATTCTGCTTATTAACATCCTAATTACAAATTTGTGTGAGGTAAAAAACCCACCTGTATCAAACAGGACGGAGAATATATAAATATACATACGATTCACACGGTCAAGGAGCAAATTCCAATATTTCGCTAAATTAAAGCCAGGGCATTTTTTAAGAATTCGTCAGTGGGGGGGGGGGCATCTACAAAAAGGGACCATACTATACAGAGCGTAGAGAAATGATAGATGGTTTGTTGGTAAAAAAAAGTTTGGTGTGGTATCGCATTTAAAGTAGGGGGGGGGGGTCTGGGGGTATTCTCCCCCAGAAAATTTTTGTATTTTTCTATCCCTATGGCTGCAATTCCCTGCATTTTCTGAAACAGATTTTTGGATATACAGCATTACATTATCCTGTAGATAGACTGAACTTCAGTTAAGTACTTGCATAGTATGTTTATGTAGTCTATACTACAACTTGGCCGTCACTCAGGGAGCCAGCTTGATAAACTTAGAGGGCCTGACTCCCACGAAACGCCACCATGGTTGACACAGCGGAAAAATTTTGAACTAAGATTTTGCGTCTCTAAATTGTCGGAAATGGCATTTTCAAAGTGTTCTCTACCTCTTTTGTTAGGCCCTTTCATTAATTCGTTCATTATGATTTGTGAGTCTATGCTATTCGCGAGTCAGGATGAAGTATCACGAGAAATGTTGTTATCAAAATATCGATTACAGATATTATATACATATATATATATATATATATATATATATATATATATATATATATATATATATATATATATATATATATATATATATATATATATATATATAAAACACTGGGTTGGGGGCCCGTTGCCCCCTGCGGTCACTAACGTGTTTAGCCGAACCTTCCAACAACTCAAATCTATAGGGTCTGGGATATGCAATCCACTGGAAAATGTGCAAAATCTAATAAGGTATTTACAACACAATGTTTAGCATTAAAGATAAAAGGCAGGACATAAGATTCACAAAGCAAATTTCAGTTACTAGAATATCAAACCTCCCTTCTAAATTCCATATTTTGCTTATATTTTAGAGAAAAGGGGCTTTGACTGGGGGGGGCAAAATGGTTGAGTGTGGGGGGGGGAGGAGCTTTGCCCCCCCCCCAGTTGTATAGTTAAAAAATGCCCTGATTAAAGCCTTGGCCAAACGTAAGAAACATTCGTGATTTTCAATGTTTGCTCAAATGTTTCCCTGTCTCCCACGACTCCCACATCTGGAAACATTGGCTTTTATTGCAGAAACAAAATTTGCTTCCTGGACAACAAAAATATTTCCTACCAAATTAGAAACATTTGATGAAACACTCTTTCTTCGTTTGCCGACGCTGGTAAGACAATATAAAATACCGAAACATTAGTAAGACACTGAATAATATGACAAATATCTTTGCGCAACAATGTTTCCCAGTTTGTCGCAGGAATAAAGGGATATTTATATAAAATCCTAGGAAAACCTCTGATTGAATCTTTAATGTATTCATCAGGGGCGTCAGAGCGGCTCTAAAAGTGGGCGGGCACACTTCGCCCTAGCGCACACTTCGCCCTAGCGCACACTTTGCCCTAGCGCACACTTAGTGACATTCATTCTAGGGGGATCTGGGGGCTTGCCTCCGGAAAAATTTTGAAACTATAGTCTCTGCAATGCCATTTGCTGCACTTCAAAAGGCGATATACAGAGTTGTAAAGGTAACGAAATGTCGTAAAATATCTCAAATCGTTTTTTCTACACGCGTAACTGAAATAATATCAATTGAGTTTGTGGTTTATTATTGACCATTGTTAAAAAGTAGGAGGGGGGCAAAGACATTTAGGTCCACCAAACTAAAAAAAGTGTGGGAGGGGGGGGGAGGGAGCACGAGCCTCCCATTCCAACGCCCCTGTGTATTATCAGGCTATGCAAGATATGTTTGGCGCTTCTTCCATCCATCGCTTAAGTATATTCTATGGATACCAATCTTGGATTTGGACCAACTTTTCCATTCGTTCCCACCATCTTTTCCAACCATCTGTTCCAACCGAAGAAGCCGGACTGCACCAGCGAAGGACCTTTAACTGTGAAAGAAACATGTCCCAGGCATCAACTCGAAATTCATCATAAAAAAAAGATAAATTGGGAGTAAATATAAAATCCATAATTTCATCATAACTATCTATAATTGAAAGACATGTTTTTCATCCTTGAGCCCAGATTTTCATCAGTGCAATAAAATCGCACTTATTGGATCCTGGCCGAGGGTCTATCGGCCTACACTCAAAACGAGATTGCATATTTTCTAAACGCACCCTGGCTAGTGCTGTGCCAACTTCGGTTTTTCATCTCCGGCTCCGGCCGAACTACAGCTCTGAGCTCCGGCTCCGGCTCCGGCCACATCATATAATATTAAATAAATGTTTTACAATCAGAGAACATTTATTAATATTATTATGAATAAGCCTTTTCGCGCTTCCTAATTATCAGATAACATACCTCAGGAAACAAACAGTGAAAACACTTAACCACGCAGAAAATATCTATATGGAAACCAGCCTCGAAAAATCTTTGACACGAGGCATGACGCGAGGCATGACGCTAACACTCTCAGACTCCACAGCGCAATTGTTCGCACCCAAACAAAGTAATCTGTCATTTTCAAAAGGTTGATATTTATTTGTTTTGTACTTTTTCGTTTCGATAAGTCAGATGGCTTCATGAAAGCATGACGTTTGCAAGTTGCGATCGTATTACAGCTTTTCGACGCTGTTCATGTGGGCTGTGGCAGTTTGAGCCTATGATGAATTCATTAACAGCAATTGGCAGTTTGCAGTAACTAACAATCGTTTGACATTTGTCTCATTTCATGTTGTTTTCTTGTCATTTTGCCGGAGCTGGGAAAACGTAACTCCGGCTCCGGGCTCCGGCATACAAAATTCTGCTCCGGCGTCGGAAAAACCGCCGGAGCTCCGGCAGAACTCCGGCTCCGGCAACTCCGGCGCACAGCACTAACCCTGGCGGAGGAGCTGAAACGCATCCTGGCGCCGCAGCAGCAAATCTATAAGAAAAAGTCAACAAGTGTGGGCACGAATAACCAGGTTGAATCGTTCGTCGTCATTCCAGATAGTGGCTAAATACCAACCTATGTCACAATATAATATATGTAATAGTTCAAATGCGAGAAGTAGAATTTTACCAGACAAAAGTCAGGACAGCTTATTGCAGAATACATGTAATCTCGTTTTCAGCGTGCAAGCCCTTGGCCAGGATCCAATAAGTGGGATTTTATTGCCGACTGATGAAAATATCGGCTCAAGGATGAAAATATGTGTTTCAATTATAGATATTTATGATGAAATTATGGATTTTATATTTCCTCCCAATTTATCTTTTCAGTTTATGATGAATTTCGAGTTGGTGCTTGGGACATGTTTCTTTCACAGTTAAAGGTCCTTCACTGGTCCGGCTTCGTCGGTTGGAACAGATGGTTGGAAAAGATGGTTGGAACGAATGGAAAAGTTGGTACAAACCCAAGACTGGCATCCATAGAATATACTTAAGCGTTGGATTGAACGCGCAATTTAAGAAGCGCTAACATATCTTGCATAGTTATTCGATATTAAATTAAAGATTCAATCAGAGGTTTTCCTAGGAATTTATATAAATATCCCTTAATGCCCGGGACAAACCGGGAAACTTTGATGCGCAAAGTTAAGGATATTTGTCATATTATTTGTCTTACCAATGTTTCGGTATGTCATATTGTCTTACCAGTGTCGGCAAACGGTGAGAGTGTTTCATCAAATGTTTGTGAATTTGGTAGGAAATATTTTATTATTTTTGCTTCCTGGGAAGCAAATTTTGTTTCTGCAATAAAAGTCAATGTTTCCAGATGGGGGAGACAGGGAACCACATGGGCGTACGGGCCTAATCTTGTTTGGAGGTGGAACAGTATTAGTTTGCCCGACCGCTTTGCTTACACAGCGCACATATACAACTTTGTTCGAGATTTTATCAGGGCCTTTTATTAGGATTTTCCCGTGGGGGGGGGGGGAGCATTTTTTGAAAAGGGACCTTTCTGTGAGATAATATATTAGTGGGGGATAGCCATGTGGCCGACATACCACGCATGAATCCCTAGGGGGGTCTGGGGGTATAATCCCCCAGAAAATGAAATTTGAAGCACGGAAATGCAATTTCCTGCATTCTGAGCATCCAAATTTGCTCTAAAATTTATGCTAACTATATAACTAACTTCATAATCTTTGCCATAAACCATCATCATTCATATACAGCCAGGTGTTCTTTTTAAATGGCAAGGTATATTAAAAGCAATTAATATTGGCATTATTATATTTAATTATTCATTGTAGACCGCGGTTCTTCTTATCAACTTTGCCCGACCATATTTTTTTTTTTGGGGGGGGAGGACACGTGCCCCCCGTGCCCCCCTCCCTCCCGGCCGATACGCCTACGCGGAACCATTTGAGCAAACATTGAAAATCGCGAATACTTCCGCAACAATGTTTCTTGCGTTTGGCCAAGGCTTTAGCTTAGCGAAATAGTTAATTTGTTCCTTGATCGTGTGAATTGTATGTATATTTAAATATTCTCCATCCTATTTGATACACAAATTTGTATTGAATTAGGATGTTAATAAGTAGAATTATTTAGAGGTATTTTGAAACAATAGCCAATGAATTGAAGTGATTTAGCATATGAGCAAGCAAAATGTACAATGTATTTTAAACAATATTTAATGTGTGTGTATTTATTCGTTAATACCACAAGGTTTGATCTTTATTCCGTGATTTTATTTTGTTGTTGTTTACGGGGGAAATCGGGGAAAACCCACAGGGAAAATCCATTTTTCGCGTCTGCGCGTGCGCAGTGCGAGTTTGGCTGACTTGCGCATGCGTATTTGCTACCAAAACAATGGCGGTTCGAATATTTCGAAACGGGAAAATTGCTAACTTTATGGGGATTATTTTCGCAATTGTGCACCTGTTTCGCTTGGGCAGCAACGGATTCTGATAAATTAAGTTTTTATCTATTGATTCATGTGAAAATTTTGTAGTTCCACGAGGGGTGCAACGGAATCCGTTTTCTAAGCATCTTTTGGATGCTCATCCTACGGCCTACAAGAAACGTTAAAAATCTTGCATTTCGTCAGATGTTTTGAAGACTATCACAAACTGACATCCATGACGTCCATGTTGATAGAAACATCGCTTGACTGCTAAACTCGCTATTATCCAGAGGAGAACGGACTCAGGTTAAATTTTCCCTATGGTTAGTATAGGTAATAGGATGGTTTCGAGTGCAATTTGGATAAAACATGCACCAGTCAGTTTCTCAAAGAGAATCTAAATATTAGGTAAAATAGCACGACTCCGAAGGCAGAGTGCCATTTGAGGTCTTTGAAGTCTTGTTTTATCCAAATATCACGAGAAACCATCCTATAACGTATTAATAATATGTATGAAAATGTTCCAGACAATTTTAGTTCTAACTTACTTTGTCGGTGGACGGTTCGAATTCGCTGCAAACACAGCGAATTCGAACCGTCCACCGACAAAGTTTTTCTGCTTTATTATTTAACAGTTATTCTACGAAATCGAGTTGAATATGGGCTGATAGCCGATGAGGCGCGTAGCGCCGATGATGCTATCGCTCATATTCGACGAAAGTGAGTGGAATAACTGTTTTATTATATACACATGCAAGTTCTGCATTCGCAGACTTTGCTTCTCGGATATTTTCAATATTTTTCTATTTTTACCTCCGCCAGGAGGTTATGTAATCATCTGGGTTTGTATGCGTGTATATGTGTATGTGTGTGTGTTTGTCTGTGAGCACGATAACTCAAGAAATACCAAACATATTCATACGAAATTTTTGGAATGCATTTCCCATCGGCTAAGGAAAAACGGTTAAAAGAATGGTTAAAAATTGAACGACAAATGAACAAAATTTTGTCTTGCTTTTCCTGGTCAATTAAAAAAAACTCACTGAATGCGTGATTAGGACGCACGCAGTACTAAGACAATAATGACATGATAAACCTCATTAAGCTTCAGCCTTCATTATCTATTGTCTTAGTTGCATTTCACACGACCGAATTTCAATGCGGGCGGAGGTATGCAGTCTCTGAGTGCCCTCTAGTGTAATATGTTTTCATCTTCGCTCTTTCGGCCATTTTAAACCTTTCTAACCATTCTAAATTTTAAAAATTGATTTTCTAACCTGTAAACAATTTGTGGGAGTTTTATTTGTGGGAGTTTTATTTGTGGGAATCTTGTAAAGGCTGTAAAAAGCGAACAACTTGCCGTTCTCTCGTTCCCCAAACGTCGGAAATTCAGTTTGAGCCGCTATTTTATTTTTCTCTACTAGCAGGCCATGAGCTACAGTAATTATATTATACCTCAAATTCAAATTGTTCAATGAAAAAACAGCATTTGTACCACGTGATAATGTGATTTTTTTATGGTATTTCACTCAAATTCATGATTTCGCAATGCAGCGTGAGATACTATAATATCCCACGGCAGATCCACCGTGGGATATTATAGTATCCCACGCTCACGCGTGGACACCACGCTCTGAACCAATATGGCGTTCGCGAGCTGTTGTCTGTAATTTCGTACAGAAGATTTGATTTAACCAAAGATTTTCAAGACGTATGTTACCTTTAATGATCCAAAGGATACATGCTCAAATATTTTAAAGAGGAAACGTCAAAAACTCGGTATACATAAGAAATTAAAAATTGCATTCGCGTAGTTAATATTCAGCAAGTTTACAGTTTATTCTGAACTTAGACTCTTAGTGAGTTCTTTAACTTTCGGAATAATATATCATTTATAGACCCTCCGCTCGGGGGATTCGTCGATATTTCCCTCAGTGATGATATTTTCCTCGGGGCAAAGCCCCTCGGAAAATATCATCACTTCGGGAAATATTATGCCGAATCCCCCTCGCTCCGGGTCTATAAATGATAAATATTCCTGACTAAATCTCCTGCTCGTTGTGACCAGGACGTCCTGATATTTTTATGAAGAACTTACTTTTAGGTACAAATAAACAATCGCCAGCATTCACAGTAACGAAGGACCAAGGAACATCCTTGACTTTGGGATATTTAATAAGATCTACGGAATCAACTTCAATCAACGAATATCCACCAATCTCGTACTCAGGCTCCCACGCTTTATATATCATCTTCTCGTATTTATATTCAATCATTTTCCATTCTTTCGTGCCATTGTAAAGACAATTGATTGCATTAAATGCATCCTAAAGAAAAGTAAAAGCAACTTGAATATAAAGGGTATAAGTATAGTAAAAGTGTCATTGATGCAGGATTACTGTTAATAAAACAATGCAAGTAGTCCTCAGAGTCGTCAAAATATTGTTTTTGGTAAGGCAGGAGAAGTATTCAACATCTTGTTGCCCATTTTGAGGCAATATTTTGTTGCAGACTTTTCTCATAACGACGTCAAACGCAGATAAACACTTCGGCTCCCCGTTTGTCCGTTAATGCGTTGTGACACCCAACATTTACAAAAAATCGCAATGAAAATCGTCGCACCCAAACAACTTTCATGTAACATCATTTTCAAGGCCAATTTTCTCAAGAAATTGTCCCGTGTAACATTGTCCATACAAACACGCAAGTTTTCCTTGACGAGTTCACGTGCTCGTGTATCTACAGTATAATGTACGGCGAATCAGGTCTTTCGTAGATCATTGATTTCTCCCGCTATATAAGGATACGTAAATAATGTCGTAATTTTTGTTCACAGCCGGTTGCACCAAAATTAAAAACAATCGAAACAATCTATGATACCACACCTCAAAAGCGAACTTCATAATAAACTAGATTTAGGTGATCTTGGCGATCGGTTATATATTTGCAAGAGAGACGGAAAATATAAACAAGAAAAATAAACAGTATATTAGAGTTAAGCAGACATCGCTAAGTCGCAAATAAAAAGTACAGTCTGTTCAATGACAACAGGACTTCAAAAGATATTTTGAAGGCGCCGTGTCTTGCTTTCGTATTTTCATCCCAGCTAGGCAGGATACTAGATGGAGTCAATAATTGAAAATGTCAAAAGAACACAGAAATATTCACCCCCTTGTCTTAGCGTAGTGTGAGACCTAATGAAAGTTACACTTTACCTTATGCAAGAGACTCTTACTACCTCCACCACTCATCCATAAATCAATCTCCACGATACGATCAACAAATGTTCCACATGTCAAACAAGGTTGAACATTAACATCATCCCACATTGGTGTTGGCAGCTCAGAAACAACATAACTGTTCATTTCATGATAACTGCCCACAAAGCTCCCTTAACAAATTCAGGAAGAATGTTTTAACAAATGAATATATTAACTACTGTACATCTCATGGTACAGTAAGTACCAAGAAGTCCGAAGTTGAAAATCTTGGCAAGATCTTGGTTATGAAGATGTTGCTACTGTAAGATTGACATCCTGGACCAAGATGAAACGTAATCCAGTGAACTGCGTTTAATGGTACGTTGTCAACAAATTTTGTTTCTGAAAAAAATGAAGCCATCTGAACCTACTGGAAAAATTTTTGAAAATCCATAGAAGGCCATATACAGTAGAATGGTATTTGATAATTGTATGGACCTTCATTGGAAATAGAATCTTATGGATTTTGATTATCCATAATTGGAAATAGTATGAGACTAGTATACTATGGATTTAGTGGTGCAATTGCAAATCTCATAGTATGGATTTCACTTTTTTTTCCCAGTGACCTCTGCTAGAATCTTAGTGCCCAAATAGTGATGATTATGCAGACAAGTTACAGAAAGAGAAAAACTGTGCAGCACTAATCATTCAAATTTAAATACCAAAAAAACATTATTTGAGAATTTTTACGCGTTTAAGAAATACTCAAGTGTGGACAGCAGTGAACACACACAAAATGTGCAGTACGTTACAAAGCTAACAAAAATATACGCGTCGGTAACCTTACAGTACAGAATAAGAATGTCGTTTGCTCAGGTGATGCTCCTGGAAATGCCAGGAATGACAGATATATAGAACTACTAAATATAGGGAAAACGTTCATTAAGTCATTGGGGTGGACAGTTCCATGTTTGGAAATGATCTCGAGGAGCATTTCATGTCTTTTGCGGCTCTCATTGCTTGCAGAAATGGGACAGAGGACTCAAATTTTCGTATAGAGATTAGTATTAAAATTAGGGGTGCACCGGATTTGGAATTTTCAAATCCGGCCGGAACCGGATTTACCGGATTTGGACAAAAATTCCGGCCGGATTTGAGATAAACCGGTAATGGGGACAATTGGGGATAAATCAGTATTCAAAATGACGGTTTATGTTTTTTACTATTTTTAGTTAGTGTCAGTTTAGATTTTTGATTGTGTTTAAACCTTTTTTAAACATCTTTTTGTTAATAACTTGATATTTTATAATAATATAAGTGTTTTTTAAACTTTAAAGCTGCCAAATTGATGGTTTATCCCATTCTTGGTGAATTTTTAAAGGTGAAAACAGAAATTTAAATCCGGCCGGATTTTCTCCAAATCCGGCCGGAAGCTACCCTGGATTCCAGAGCCTTCTACAGTAAATAATAAATTGAAATGTCGCGAAGGCTCTGGTTCAACGGGGCGATTCTTTGATTAAGCCGCGCCAATCACAAAACATAATTAGTGGTTTTAGTACAGATTCTGTACTAAATCGTGTATCCGGCCGGATTTGAAATCCGGTGCACTCCTAATTAAAATGTCTAGCTGGCAACAAGCTGGTCAGCACCATTGTCAATGACTGCACGCTCACCAAACCTTGTCCTCAAAGATCTTCCAGTTTCTCCAATATAAAGCATGCCACATCTACCGCATGAGATGCAGTCGATGAGTTGGGAGGAGGTGCACGTGGGTTGGTGCTTGACATGGTATTGAGATTTTACTGCGGAAATAGTGGTAACCGAATCTATAAACTTACATGTTTTACATTGGGGCACCCAACAAGGAAACGTGCCATTCTGTGATGACGAATTTTGTGACAGGAAGCTACAGTATGAACTAGGGTTTCACAGATATTTTTAATGGGTCGAAAAGAAACGGTTAAAAGAAGTGGTTATCAATTACTGTATATAATTATACTAGTCTTATAGCCATGTTGGAAAAAAAGTGTCTCATATGAATACATTTAGCTTGGAAATCCTCATCTTTACTGCAAATGTGGCGAAGACCAAAGAACTGCGAGAAGGAAATCGAGGTCGATATACCGTTTATTGTTTGAAGATCTTTTCATAAACAGAAAAAGTGTTGAACACGAACAGTGGCATCAACAGTTGTTTTCATATTCCAAATTGACAATCATATATTATACGATTAGTCGCATCTTGTAAATGGGACTTTAAATTGGACGATGTAAGTATGACATCGACCAACAGACAGGTTTTGGAGCATTAAAAGAGCATCATGCATTGTTATAATAAAATTAATGCTTTAATTTTCCTGGTCGACAGACCAAGCAGGACTTCTATAGTTGAGTAACCTAGCTTGGGTTTATTGGGACAGGATTTTAAAGCATATGTCTCACTTTCCATAATAAACATTGATGCTACTGGTATTCCACTATCCCCGAACCATGTGCATATTAAGAAGAAGCCAGTGGCAAGGGTATCATTATGCGACTATACACATATGATGACTATAGATACTAGCGCAAATCGCAGATCGTTCTGTCCTCCTGCCCCAGAAATGTTTACTGTACATGTCAATTAATTGAAAACATTCAAGAATGTGACTACATATTTCCTAACATTGTATACTAATCACAAATGAATTTGAATTTGGAACAGGCAACATGATTGAAGGTCATGCAGGAAGAGAATTTTTTGTGCTTTTTAAAATTAGCTGTTTAAAATAGCATCCACTGTTTTGATCATGATTGTGAAATCAACATATTCTCTTGGCAATGGCAAAACTGAAACAACAGGAAATTCTGCTATCACAGGAAATTGTGCTATTCGACAGGAAATTGTGCTATCACAGTTTGACATTTTAAGAGTCATACGCCTGTAGAATAATTAGTCTAAGAATAGAATAGAATAATTTATTTAATGTCGAATGACACAGAGTGTGGTTGTCCAATCATTGCTGTTTTTGAATAGCTGGAGGGCCAGTGTCGTACCATACTATATGAATCAATGTGACTACACCCTCCAGCTATTCAAAAACAGCACTGACACTCAAGAGAAGACCAGATCGAACTCCACTAAATGAGTGTGAGTGAGCTTTTAGAATATGGGCGATAGTGTCATACATGTAGGTTTTATAATTAAGAGGCAATAGAGGTCGCTGTTCCTAATCTAATTATTATATTAGAGAGAGAGGCCGGTATGGAATTTAAAAGCATGTGCCATGCATGCAATTGCCCGCATGCACAAAGACTGCCATTCCAGCGGCGTAGGAAGCAGGGGGGATGGGGGGATGCACAGCCCCCACACTATTTTATAAGAGGGGCTGGGATAGCTTTCGGCACGCTCCCCCCCAAAAAAAAATTATTTGATTTAAAAAAATAATTAAAAAATTACTGCAAAATTCTTGAAACTGGAAATATTTGAAACCATATACATCATATTAATAATGTATCTTTATCTGCAATTGTTTATTGTTATTTTAATAACAACTTCTTTCGAGAGTACAGTATATGGGGCCATTCGCACTGAGCATGCATGCTTCTAGACCATATTATCTAAATCAGTGGTTTCAAAATAAGCCGTCGCCCGTCACATCCGACTGCAACTCTTCCATTTGCGACAGCTACTTTCTCTTTTATAATTATTGATTAACTATAAATTCTGGTTAAAATATTAAAGTGTTTACAAAATGTTTTGTGAGTAAACAAGCGTGTATTTTGTCGAAACAACCACAGCCACAGATTAGAAGCCTTGATACGTCTCTTGCCCGTTGAGGGCAGGCTCAGAGCAGTGCTTCAAATTTCCTTTAAGAATTTCTTCCATTTTTACGTAGATTTTCGCAAAATCATGCCCGACAATAGACAACTTGCATGTTAGATAAATTTTTTATCTAGCCGATCTAGGCACAACAAAAGTAAATTCCCGTTAAGAACTTATTAAAATTAGTAAAAGTGCAAAATTTCGTTGCAAAATGTTGTAAAGCTTGGAAAATATAGCCTTGCAAAGTTTGCATATTTTCAGTATATTTGTATTACTTGCGGAAATTGTTACCATTTTTGAGCCGAAAATGGTAACAATTTCCGCTCGTAATACAATTAAATATACTGAAAATTTGCAAACTTTGCAAGGCTATATTTTCTAAGCTTTACAACATTTCGCAACCAAATTTTGCACTTTTACTAATTTCAGTATGTTCTTTTTAGCTGTTGTGTTTTATCCCCTTTTCTCCGCTTAGATTGAAATTTAGTCTAACATGCAAGTTGTCCATTGCAAATAAAAATGTTTTGAATATGTTTGCTGCAATAGATCAAACAAGCTATGTGGAGTTTACATTGATTCCTCATCAAAAGTCCAATAACTGAATTAAGCAAATTAAAGGTTATTTAAATTATGAATGCTGCCAGGCATTTCAAACAACTATGGCTTTGTTGGGTGATGTTTACTGTATATGTATAAACATTGTTGTTATAGGCATTAATAAGAACATAAATTTAACAGTGTTTTAGACATTGAAAATATGATTTTTTGTGTCTCAAGAATAAATGCTGGAAAATACATCTCGTATATAGCCCTAGAAGTTCAAAATTTTCTGGAAACATGCCGTCACAGGCCCGTCAGATCTTCCGTGTTGGGAAGTTCGGCCTTCGGTTGCAACTCCTACACTTCCCAGCGCAACGTCTACTATGAAATGTTTTGAAACCACTGTAAATTAGAGCAATCTCAAAGCGATCCAAGGCTAGATCTTGCTAATAAAATGGAGTGACCACCAGGAGTCTCTAGATCGTTGGAAATGGCATTTTCAGAGCCTTCTGTACCTTATACACACAAGGTTTGGTAGCTTTTATTTATATCAAACAAAACCATATTGTTGAAGTTGTGTTATTTTCGAAATCCGTGAGAATCCGTCAGATATTAACAAGCTGTGAGACTGTGAGTGTGAGCTCACCGTGAGGTTTTATTAGAATCCGTGACCGCCCCTTATATGCTACATATAACGTATACCATAACAGCTATACAGCAATTGACAAAATTAAAATAAATATTTCGGCCCGCGTTTAATTTAATGACACTTACCGTGACTTTAGTCAGCCATCTAGAAATAACGTAGAACCAGAAACGTAGCAAATGCTTTATTAATTGGAATAATTGTTGTCTTTGTTACTTCGCGATAAGTCATTTTACCCAATGGCATTTATCTTGTTGTTTATTGTAATGAACAGACTTGAAAAATTGTCGAAACATTTTATGAGCACCGCGTGTCAATAACAAATATATAAATATAATCTTTAATTGTTTTGCGTATCATTGTATCAAGGTCAAAAGTTCGCGCACAGTTGAACATGTCCAATCAGAACCGACTGTTTTCGCAGCTCTTGCAAGTGTAATACGATAGGAAATTAGGGGCTCCAATGCTTATGCGTAGATATTTAATATAAGTGTTTTAATACTGAAGAATTACGTACATTTTGCATAACTTTATCGGAGAACAAGGCACGACATTAATTTTATTTTTTTTTATTATTAAAAGCCATTTACCGAGGAGCAAAATTCCATTTTAACCGATTTGTTTTACCGACCGCTGTCATGGCTCTTGCCATTACCGAATAACTTTGCGTTTTACCGACTACCTACACCCCCCCCCCCCCCCGCACGCTACGCCTGGTGACCACACTTTAACAAAAAACAAATACAAATCATGCTTACAAATCACAACATTTGACAGAATTTGAAAAGGTTTAATGAAAGTCGTAGAGACCCTGAAAATGCCATTTCCGACGACCTGGTGACTCCAAATTTTCCCCGCTCAGCACCAACCATGGTGGCGACTCATGGGAGTCCCCCCCCCCTGCTTTAAAGCCCAAAACTTCACCCGTACAGCCCACCTTCCCCCTTGGGAATGAACATCCATAGACAATGAGCCCATGGGCCTTGTGCACAACAAGTAGTGCACAACTGAAACTGCTGGTTCCCTGAGCCAGGCACAGCATACCTAATTTTAAGAATTTTTTATCACTGCACATTTTTGCGCAAAGTTTAGCCGAGCAGAAGCACGCCCTGAAAATTTCTGAACACACACAATGTGTAACTACTATGCACAAAACAGGCTACAATTGATATTAAAAAATGCCAAAAACCAACATACACTGCACAACACGCAGGGTTGCCCAGGGCCAAATTTGACTTGGTGCCCCACATGACTCCATCTTCTAACACTATCACTAGGGGGGCCGGGGCATTCTCCCCAGGAAAATTTTAAAATCTGAGGTCCCAGAAATGGTCAAATCCTGCATTCTGGAAGTCTTTTGACAGTTATATCTATGTATATTTTACATAATTCTTTATTTCGGCCCTCCTTTAACTAAGGCTCCAGGAAAAATTGCCCCCTTTGACAGCACCTATAGTTTCAACTATCTGTGACGGCATAGTTTCATAATCACATACTTGCAAGAAAGAAATATTTTCGTATTGGCAAATGAGAGGCAGCTTAGACAGCTTAGGACTGACAAACCTCTAGAGGAGTTCCAAGGGCATGCACCCACAGAAAATTTTGTAATCTAGGCTCTCTAAAAGGGGATTTTATGCAATGTGCGAAGACATTCTATAGAATTCTGAAGATTACACACTAATTACAAAAAGATAAGTATCATTCACTTTATCATCCAGACTCATAAAGGAACCTTTGGTGCGAGACTTTGTTCATCTGATAAACCTGAAGTGTAATATTAGTGCACGTTCGATGATTTGGCAGCTATCATTTCAATTTCATTCAAATTGTTCTCATTCAAAATGTTTTGATTAATACTGTCAAGGAGTGTCAAGACGAATTTTTAGCTCAGTTTTTCTGCTCATTGCCTGGATTTTCGTGTTAATTGTTAACAACTTATCACAGCAAATTTTATCACTGCACATTTTACATTTTATCACTGCACATTTTAGTTTTATCACTGCACAAATTGGTTATCACTGCACACTAAAATTAGGTATGAGGCACAGAAATACTACATACAGTATTTCCATACTGCATGGTTGAGAGCCACTGTGTAATTCGGTTTAATTGTTTTTTTGTCATGATTTTCGTGTAACATTTTCAAGCCTTACACCGTTAGCAAAGCTGAAAAAGTGCCTTCAGGTTTATAAGATTGTGTGTGAACCTACCTATAGTGTCTCTGCCCAATCCTTTAGCACCAATAGGAACCCTTCCTGACTTCTCCCCCTTGCTCTCCAATCGCACTTCCAAATCTCCATATCTTTCCTTCAAATATTCATCACTCCATAACTTATAAGCCTTGGAATGTTTCGCAGCTCCTCTAAACACCACAGGTTTGGATATTTTCACATAATTACTCCAGAACTCAAGCGGTGTTGGAATATCGTATCGTTCTTCGATCGTATCAGGCTCTCTGTGAGATCCAAGCACTTCCTGGTGACCTTTCGGCAAGTTATCCTCGGATTTGTCCGCAAAATTTCTTTGTAAATATAGTAGGTTGAAGATTAAAAGGAAGCCAAGTTTCTTGTGTGATATCATGGTAGTTTCCTCTTCATATTTTCAAATTCGTTTCGTTTTATTCATGACAAAGCCAGAGACAAAGTGGTATATATAAATTATGTCGTTGTTGGTTTAGCTGGTGTCAGTATTGTATTGTTTACGCTTAACTAAATCACATCGGCCAGAAGGAGATATGGAAGAGCAGTGACTTCTGTATCTTAATTTCGTTTGATAGAAATGCAACTACTGGAAAAATACAAGGAGAAATCTACGTTTCCTTGTATCTCAGGCAGTTACATGTAAATCAACATTCCAAGCGACGTTTTGTTAATTATTGCCACTACAAACTGCCACACAAGAATATTCTTTAGTTTACCATCAGTATACCCATTTATAAATGATTATTGGCGCCAGGGCTTTGAAACCAAGGCAATCCAGGGTGAGCAGGGGGCCCTTTATACAAAGTCTCGGATTTGCGGGCTGCATTTTGAACTGCCAAGTAAAAAAGAATGGCAGGTGAAATTCTATAGATATATTTCATTTCATTTCAAGATTTCCATACCATAACTCATGCTAGACCATTTTATAGTTGACTAAAGACGTTTATATTTGTATTTTATAATATAGCATTTGTAAATTCTGAACGCTGATTGGCTAAGAGCCGTGTTGATATAACTCAATGTCAACACGGAAACGTTGGAAAATTTCTTTCTTTATATTTCTTTGTGCTATATTATAAAACAAATAAAAAACTTTTTTCCGTATTGATATATAGTTATATCAACACTCGTGGAAGTTGGGAAAACTCGAAATTTTGTGAAAACACTCCGCCCTTTCTCGTTTTCCCAATTTCCACTCGTGTTGATATAACTGTATATCAACACGGAAAATGTTTTATATTTGTTAAATATTAAATGTAAATCCAAGTTTACTATGTCTATAGTAAAATAGACAAGTTTAAAAATAGTAAAAATGCACGTCATGAAAACATTGATTTTTGCAAATGAATATACGACTCCTATGAGGCATCGCCATTTTGGCAGTTCAATGAATAAAAATGGCATGCAGGCTAAAATTTATTTCACCTGCCAAAACAATTTTAGCCTGCAGGCCATATTTTTTCTCTAGTTCGAGCCCTGCCTTTGTAGTATTGCCTACGGGATCCTTAGTGTATGGTTTGCACTACAAAAGACAAGATTGAATGAAGGAATGACCGGACAACAGGAATGACATCTCATGTTAGGTGATCTTTACCACTAAGGATATAACACGACGCGTGAATAACAACGACCAAGAAGATATGGTAAAACAAACCTCGGACGTGACATGAGTGAAAGCTAAATTGCGGCTGGGAATGCAGAAAAATCCATTTATTTTCCTTTTTTATTTCAATGAATTCGTCACAATTTGCATACGTACGCACAAGCAATACTGACACTGAGACGTTATACTTTCTGACAAATAGCATGCGACTGTAGAAAGGAGGGGGAAATGAAACTATGAAATGTATGATGAGGAGCAATTTCGAACAGATTTAGATTAACAAAGGATGGTTTTGGGGAGATCCTAAACATAATAGGGCCAGCCATATCTGGTGATAATGGACGAAGTAATCCAATTCCTATAGCTATATATTATTTTGAATACTGAAGGTAAATCACTCGATGGAAACGTAAAATAAGACACATGCGGGGGCTCAATGGAGGGAGGGAGGGGGGTTGGGTAAAAAAGAGGGAGATTTAAGAGAGTCAGATTACTTAATAGAGGATTGGCCATACTACATGTAAATGAATGAGCCGAAATGAAACGGGAAATAACATTGACAGGTACAACTAGATTTTTCGTTTGAGATTCATGATAAATTTAGAGTGTGATTTCCGTTGGCGTTGGCTTTATAAAATATGCTCATTTAGCAAAGTCTCTTTGGTAGTGAACAATATTTCCTGTTTTGAAATGAAAGTTCACCCAAGCGTTCAATATAATTCCATTGCAATGAACATCTGAGACCTAATATAATCTACATTGAATTTTGTTTTTAAGCTCGTTCTTCAAAATATTACTTCTGACTTTCAACTTTGGTTGTTGCGCAAAATATGATGTCAATGTCTGCATGTTTACAATTTGAAAGAAAGTTGTGCACAATGCAAGCATACAAACTGCACTAGTAGAATTACTTTAATTTTTGCAGACATTTAAAACAAAATCTTAAATATTGTTCTCTGCATGTGTTGTTCGTTGTGTCTCCCTGTGAGTGATGTGATGTTAGTTAGCCGGAGCTCCTCCTGATCCTCCAGCAGCGGCACCCCCGGCGGGAGGTTCTTGTCCTGACAGCAAAAGAAATAACAGCAGAGGAACAATATACATCCACTGAAAGAAAGATAAACACCAAAGTATAACGTAAACATTGAATGGCTTCTTGATTGCCTATGATTAGACCGCGTGTCTATGGTTAGAGCGCGTAAAGCACCAGTTAGCCGATTATGTAGATTTGTTACGACCTGTTCACACTGTCTGGCCTAAAACCCATATAGAAATGCCCTATCACACTTTTGTTTGAAAATGATGTTGTTCTTAAAATGAATGCAACACTACAGGGTTTTGGGAGAATTAAGGATTGGGACAACCTCTCCCAATTACATAGGGATGTTCAACATTGAGTTGAGCTCTAAAGAATATGTGAGCGTTGGAACACAGAGCAATGTTCGAAAATCTGATATTTATCACTTATTTACTGAGACCGAGGGAAACAGTGTGTTTTGTGGACCCGAGACCGTCGTTGTTGCCCGAGGAGAAGCCGAGGGCAACAACGGCGGTCGAGGGGCCACAAAACACACTGCTTTCCCGAGGTCTCAGTAAATAAGTGTTTTGTTATATAGTATATAAGTGTCAAAGTATGAATAATTCACCGGTTATTGGAGTGAACTTAATTTGAAACCAAAACTGGATAAATGGAACGCCGTGATCGATGTTTAATAAAAAGTTTAAAAAATGAACTTTGGAACTTCATGGTTGACACGCATGCGTATTGCACCCATTTTATTATTGACCGGTCAGTAATTAGAGAGGTTAAGATACCCCGGTTCCGGTCTACGCGGGTACGAGTATCGCCATTTTGTTTACCAATTTTTGCTGATGTCAGCATTTTACCCGTAATTTCTACCCGTTTCCTCGCGGTAAACCATGGTCTACACGTAAAAGGCAAACGGGTACGGGTGTTTTGTGTTTACTATTTGTGGTCCGTTTAAATAGCACAAATTTTCAACATCTTACCCAAATAAATAATGCACTTATGCTTGTCAAAGTTACAATCTATGGCGAACCCCAACAGCGAAACTTGCCATTCTCTGATAGGTTTACGCATGCCGGAATATCTTGGATTTCTTAAGTTACAAGTCGTTCCCAGGTTTACGGGTACGTGTATATCACCCGTACCCGTAAACCGGAACCGGGGTATCTTAACCTCTCTAATGTTTGATTGCGGACCGGTTGCCGAACATGACGTTTTGTGGACCGGCACGTGACACAGTTTTGACCAATCGGCAAACAGAAAAATTGAACTTTGACACTAACTATATAACAACATACATTATTATATGGCTAGGCCGTCCATCTCCAAAATGTTGTATTTTGATTGGTACCTGAGCAGTCGGTTACCTGCAATACTCAATAACTTATAATAGTATAGATCGCCAACTAAGATAGACCGCTAGTGAAGAAAAACTTCAAAAATTCTTTTCGTAGTAAAAAAGACCACAAATATGTGACCTTAATTGGTAAGTTTTTTTTATATATATTGTAAAATAACTTACTATTCTACTCTATATATATTAGATATCTTATATAGACTAGATAGCGCATCTCGTTTAGTAAAATTGAAGCCAAGAATATTCCAGCGGTTACCCCCATATGGCGGCCATGTTGGTGTTTCCAACTCGCTAACAAACGCTTAAAAAACAACAATAACTTTCATCATTTGAATAGTTTAAAAATATATATTTGGAATAGGTCTACCTTAATATTTAAGTTCCGTGTTTAAGAAATAGAGAACATACGAATCTGCAAACACGGCTTCAATTTTTGAATTGTAGAATAATTAGATGCGCTATCTATAGTGTATATAAGATATCTATGCTCTACATAGATTCTGCTAAAACGTTGTTTACATGTATTAAAACGCTTTTTATAACACTTGAAATGCCTAACGGAATGATACTTAATACTTGCGGCCATTGAACGGCTTTTTCGTCGAACTAAAGTGAAATTGGACTAAAAACAGGTTTGTTCGGTCTGGACAGTAGGATATTAGCATCCATCTTTTTTGTTTGTAGAAAGGAAAAAAGAACTCGACTAATATCCTACAGTCCGGACCACTCGCTCAGTCAATAACATATATGTCTTTCCTTGCGTCACCTGACATTATACATCACATTATAGTTAGTGTTGCAATCAAGCATCCCAATGTTTCAGTGTTCAGTGCACTGGTTCCTCATGACCAGTTGGGACGTGCAGAATGTAATGACTCGTTCACACAATATCAAGATCAAATACAGGGTTCGTCGTCTCCAAGACCAAAAAAATTCAAAGACTTTCAAAGATTTTTTCTGCTTATTTTCAAAGACTTTTCAAAGACCTTTGAATGCAATCAGCTGTCGAAAAATTGCGAGTGTAAGCACCATTTTTACCCAGTAATTAGTCCCGTCAAATCACATCCTAAAATGCGCATTTTCGTCGATATTTCCGAAAATCTTGATTCAATCAATCTATTTCATTAGCTAGGAAATCGTATAATCAATTCCTCACTAAAGAATTTAAAGACTTTTAAAGACTTTCTTCGCTTTTTCACACAATTTAAAGACTTTTCAAAGACCTCAAAGACCTGCATTCCAATTTAAAGACTTTCAAGGATTTCAAAGACCCCTATGAACCCTGAAATATAACTTACATATTTCGCAAAGAAAGATCTGTTGTCCTTGCCTTTCCCTCTTTCTTTCCCACGCCTCTCGTCTTCTAACTTCTTAATGTAAGTCTGAGTTTCTGGACTAAAAATACGAACATTACAGCCATTAGGAATACACCCTTAAAGAAACCGAAAATTGCTTCCTTTATGATCGAACTCGTCAGTAATTCGACTTTTCACCACGGACGTTTTTATCTTTTGCGTTTTTCATACGTACGTATACGCACGTAAAACTTTTAATCCGTTTAAATGTTGCTTATGAAATAACCAAATAAATAAAGCAACAGAATTTAGTGTTCCGCAAGTTTTAGTATGCATTTGTTAACTTATTTGTAAAATATTTAAAAAATAGAAGGATTCCAAGTTTTACGTGCGTGTACGTGCGTACGAAAAACGCAACAGTGGAAATCGGCCGTAAGGATGAAAACAAACAGATATACAATCACGTCCCAGGCCACAGGTACAGTACTCAGTAGGTAAAATAGCAGTAAGATGCTGAAGCCTGTCAACTGCGCTTGGAAAACTTGCGAGGTTGACATCACGTTGGTGATGCCGTTGGTACTTGGTAATATCTTTTATCGGCGATGTTTTTACAATCCACAATTCAGCTGGACATGCATTAATGTTATATTAATAACCTATAGACGAGCCACTGACGTTTCCGCGGCGGCACCGCCGGCGACAATAGCCATTTGCTGCCGCTCATTCCGACTGCCGTGTATAACAATTATTGTTCCCCAAAAAAATTTCATCAGAATGTTAAAACGCTAGCTACAAAAATAATTTCTAAATATATAAAAGCATATGCATTATCTAAAATGTTAGAATTTATACGAACGCCAAAATTTTTCAAAATGACATACAGATATATTAAAATATATGAAAACATTGTTGCTGAATGCAAATACATACACTGGTCCAGGAGTGACATGAGACAATATGACGGTGGTATTAAACCATTTATCCATTAAATCAATCTAAAAATAGAAAATTACAAAATTGAAAAGAAAAAACGATAAAATCTCATAAAGAAACACCCACCGTTTCCTCAAATCAAGTTAGGCAACAATTTAGCCACAACCATACGACCAGGCATATAGTCCAGTACCATTGTTTACAAATATGCTATTTATTTCATTTCTCTGTACATAGTCAATCAAGAAATGATGGTCTGGATACTGAGCAGAAGTCATTGTGTTATATTTATGTTACGGTCGCGGTGAATGAGCTAATTGGATTTTCGTGTAATAAAGTAATCATCCGATAGGGAGAGCTGAGATGAAACGTGCAACCACGATGCATAATATTTAATGAAGTTGAGACAAAGAATTTGTGCATGGTAAGGTACAGTTCAACATCAAACAAAGGTATCATGACAGACTACTGTGCTCGAATTTCGCAGTTTGCTACAAAAATTGGTAGACAAGGCTGGCCTTAAAAATCTTAGATGTGTAACCAGGATTAGACATAATAAAAAGATGAGACGTTCTCTGGTTAATATATTTATTAATCACAAGCTTTCGGCTACCAGTCTGTAGCCTTCAACGGGTGTATATACAATATGATACAAGGACGCTAAAACTATATAATATACATGTAAATTGAAACTAAACGTGACGTATGTGTATGTGCAATCTGAAATATGATAGGTGATATTACAATTTTCTTATTAAGGCTGTGTATTGTCGAGGAAGTAGCTTAGAGTTGTTATCAGCATTTTTGTCTTTGGCTGTATGCCATGATTCTAAAGTTAGACGGTTCCGAAATTTCCCTTTGTCTATGACTTTCGAGTTATCAAAATCAATTACATGATCACAGTCCCATGCATGCTTAGCAATGTTTGATCCATCTTTATTTTGTTTTACGTTTCTGACGTGTTCAGATTTTCTTGTCTTTAGGGATCTGCCTGTTTCACCTATATAATTCCAAGGGCAATCTTTACATGGTATTTTGTAGATGACGTTAGTTTGTTCTTCGGTTGGAGGTCTGTGTTTTACTGAGGGGAATTCTCGTTGTAGGGTTCTCAAAGGTTTATTATGGACTTTTATGTTATGTTTTCTTAGTGTTCTTGATAGAGGTTCTGTTACTCCTTTGATGTATGGTAAAGTAGCATGTCCATTGTAAGTTTCCGAGGGATCAACCTGTTCAAAGAATGTTCTTAC